ATGTCAATTAATTCGCATTTAAGATTGACAATTAAAACAGTTGAAAGCCTGATTCTAAGTGGTCTTTTTATGACACAAAGTGTCGCGACGAACAAATCATGCGCCCAGTGGCAAGAGCCTGTCTGTGGGCCTGTCCATAACATTTACGGTGCCGCTTGGAGCTTCAAAACGCAATTTAGAGCTTTAAATGCACTGTCCTTTTACCCCGTCTTCAAAAAAGACCGACTACAGGCAATCCCCACAAAGATCGAACAAAAAGACTTTTACTAGAGGTAGGTGCTAAATGACGTCACTATGAAAAAATCACATTGATCAGCCGTCATATAGTATCATCATGACTTTTTACGAAGGAATGACGTTCCAGAATCACGAAGGTTGTCCTGCAGTTCCACTGTCACTCATATTACGACATACGACGTATTTTTTTTACAAACAAAATCATGAGAGAAATAGATAGTATTATTATTATTATAACGGCTGTATTATTGTAGTTCGCTTTTATTTTTGTTATGAACTAAGAAACAACCCTGAGACGTAAGTTGACAATTCCCATGAACCTGTCGTTTCTCTACCACCCTTACTTACCACCCTTCAAAACCGGAAAGTACACCACAAGATCTATAACTTTTTTTGTTCTTTTAGTTTATCCCTCTAGGGAAAGGCAAAGGAGACTGAGTCCATACAGCCTAGTCTGTTGTATATTTTCTGAAGCCAAAGCCAAGTCTTCTTTTGTAGTAAGATTATTCGTACTTGATGGAAAATGTAAATTTTTTCCAAGTTATTTCACAATATATCTTATTTATATGTTTGATGTTGTTTAGTTATCAGGAATTTGTTAATAGAATTTTATTCGCTTGGAAACATAGTTTGGATGTAACTTTAATGGGTTTTAAATATCGTTGATATTAATAGCATAATTGCCTGGCCCACTTAACGTTTGCTTTGAATGTTTTTGTATACAAAAGATAACAATTCCAATTTGCTTCGAAAAACTTGTATGTTAAGTCAACGCCGATGTTTAAAAAGTCTATTAAAAACTACCAAACCAACACTCGCTGCGGCTAAGACTCGCCACGAAGCGGCATGCGCGGGAGCATCGCTGCCCTTCAAACCACATCGCCCGCAGCGCAAGCGGCGGCAATTTGTACCTAGCTTCCGTAAATAGAGAAACCGCTGTTATGCTATTAATGTTTTTTATACCCCCAACCGTTATACGCCAATTTGAACAGATTTTACGCTGCGATACCGCATACTAATTCGAAAGTGATATTCGTGGCCACAACAGTAATTCGGTGGTGATTAGTGCCAAAATACGTAGTGCTAAATCGTAGACAATTGATAGAGCACCTTTTGAAATTCGTAAAATTGTCATTATAAGATTTCTTCATCATCATCGTCAACCCCCATCCCTCTGCTGGGTACGGGTTTCCCCTCAAGTGAGGGCTTAGGCCATAGTCCGGGTTGGAGACTTCACACGTTTTCCGAGGATTGTGAACCCTTCGACGTGCAGGTTACGTCACGACGTTTTCCTTCTACGAAAAGCTCATGGTAAATTTAATTTGAAATTTCGATAAACTCAGAGGTGCCAGCCCGGATTCGAACTCACGGCCTCTTCTTAACAGGTGATAGGTCATACCATTAGACTACCTCGGCTTTTTTAAATAAAATTTCTTGATAAACTAAACATTGGAAATAAATCTATTATAGAGTTTTTGAACAAGAACTTTGTTTTGTAAATCAAAATAAAACAATAAATTTAGATAATATTAATAACGCACACACTCAACAATACTCAACATAGTCCCGCACTAGGGAAACCCTGTGTCGCGGGTGCCATGGACACACACATGGACAACCACAAGTTACACCCAAAATCACGAGAGAAATAATGTAGGCCATACAAATATTTCTCCCGGCCCGGGAATCGAACCTGGGACCTCTGCGTGGCAGTCCGGCATGGTAACTGTTCGGCCACGAAGGCAGTTAGATGACAATGATTCAAATTTTTATTGTATAAAAAAAAGTAAGATTTAGCAATTATGAATGAAAAATAATATCTGATAAATGTCCACCACGACCACAGTTACAGATGTCGATTCTTTCATCAAAGTTTTTAATCACTTTTTAATTAAATGGTGGGTCTATTTCGTTAATCACTTCAGAAATTTTGAGTTTTAAGGCTGCAATCGACTCGATTGGTTCCGTATGGACTCTGCCTTTAACATAACCCCATAAAAAATAATCCAGCGGTGTTAAATCACATGATCGCATGCCACTTAATAGCTGAATTTGCAATAAATTCATTGTTTCGGTGGCTGTGTGACTTGTGGCACCGTCTTGTTGAAACCACATGTTAGTGATATCCATATCATCAATAATAGGCCAAAATTAAGTTGTTAACGTGTCTCGATAACGTAATCCATTGACCGTAACCGCACTTCCAGCCGAATTTTCGAAAAAAAACGGCCCAATGCCAATGGCAAAAGTCACACAGCCACCGAAACAATGAATTTATTGTAAACCAAATTTCCCGATTGCTTAATTTCACGAAATTCAGCCGTTAATTTTTAATTTATTTTTGTGGGGTTATGTTAAAGACAGAGTCTATACGGAGCCAATTGAATCGATTGCAGCCTTAAAACTCAAAATTCATGAAGTGATTAACGCAATAGACCCACCATTTAGTCAAAAAGTGATTAAAAACTAAAGAATCGACATCTTAACTGTGGTCGTGGTGAACATTTATCAGGTATCATTTTTCATTCCAAATCGCCAAACCTTACTTTTATTATACAATAAAAATTTGAAACATTGTCATCTACATTTACTGTTTTATTTGATTTACAAAACAAAGTTCTTGTTGAAAAGCCCTTTACAATAAAAAGTCATATTTGTCGTTTATTAAGGTTAAAACACTGAATCAAAGGATTTTTACTTAGTAATGTGGACTTATAAAAAAAGAAATCTAAAATTGTTTTATAAAACACATTATGGACAGGCGTGTGTGTAGCTTACCATCAGACGCACGACCTGTTCGTCCCGTCACTTATTATTATAAAAAAAGTGTTACGCATTTAAAGTACGTTTTATCTATATTTAACATAAATACACTACTTCATAACAAATTCTTAGGTTTACGCGATTGTTACAACTACACATAGGAAATGAAACTATTTTTTTTGGATCGCGTATATTTGTTATATAACCGGTTGATGACTTTACCATCTGAGTCAGACGTGACTATGGTCCCTGTAAAGGGTCCGAACGTTGGTTTGTTTGGAGAAACAAATATATGCAATTTCAATGCTCTTTATTAGAAAAACATATTAAATCTTTAAACTCTTTAAATTTTTATTGAATTGATATTCAATTATTTTTATGTGAAATTACTCCACTAGTTTGCTATAATTATTAATACAAAGATCGAACACTCAGAAAAAGTTCCTTCGCTCCGGCCGGATTCGAACCGACGCTATAGCAACTAAGCCACGGAACGAACCAGCAGACATCACGAATTTTTCTATATGTTTGTTGTCGTGTCTTCGTATTTGGTTTTTTCAACGACTTTTTAACCGTAGCGCCATCTATGAGATATTTTAAGTATTTCGTCACCCAGTTAAATACCTTTACAGCTACCAGCCCTAGCTAGAGATGTCGCTATTCATTTTATTGAAACTTTTTCCTGGATTGATATTCAATTGGAAGAAGATATAGTGACAAAGATAGAGAAAGGGATGCTTAGATGGTTCGGACATGTAGAGAGAATGAATGAAAGAAGACTGATGAAACAGATTTATAAGGCGAGTGTGACCGGGTAAGTTGGTATGGCCCGACCAAAGCGATCTTACCGTGACCAAATTGAGTCTAGGTATCCTAAAGAAGGGCCAGGTCAAGAGTACCCTTAACCGACGAACGTGTATGAAAGCATTGATGCGTGTTGATGTGACGAAAGATGTGCGTCAGGACCGTAGCAAATGGAAGACTGTTGTCTCTGCCTACCCCGATGGGAAAAAGGCGTGAAGTATATGTGTGTATGTATGATGATATTAAATTATTTTTTATATGAAATTACTCCACTAGTTTGTTATAATTATTAATAAGGTTCGAATCCGGCCGGATCGAAGGAATTTTTTCTGAGTGTTCGATGTTTAAACTCTCTTTGAATTTTGTCTATAGGCCATTGACTTACAAATAAATGGACGACGGGTATAATACAAAAACCACGAAAAAAAATGTCCCAAGTCAACCTATTTAAACGTAGTGACATGTAAAGGAATATGAAAAAGCTAAAACGTTGAATTTAAATTGTAATGTCACCGCAGTACTGTCTAATTTTGCTTGCTTCGCTGTCAGTCGAACAAACGAAGACTAAAGCGTAAATGACGCTCTGTATACGATTTTAACGCCCTATAAGTTCGGACACTTTTTAGTGCGGACCCGACGTCCATATAATTGTACGAGTAAGTCAATGCTATAGGCAGTATAGCTCACTTCAGGGGTCTTCTTTCGTTCCCCGTCCAACATTCGTCCAAAACAATTATTGTCAAATAAGTAATACTCGACAAAATTAAAAGAATTCATTTGCATCATGCGTCTTATTTTGGTCGAGTATTACTAGTATTACATCCGTAGAACAAAGATCTATGTGCAATGATATATAAATTCTCAAAACACCTTTATACAGGCCTTGGTTTGAATAACGAAATAATTCTCGTAACGTGCTTAATCTCTTTTCTCTATACAATCACATCCGAGTCTTTTCTTCGGATGCTTCGATTGTTTCGAACCGACATCAGACGGAGAACGAGTAGACCCCCAGTATCAAGCTCCAGCACATCGGCACATCGCATAATTTGAACTTTAATTTGAATTTATTCTTGTAGGCATTCAGGGTGGTAGTAGAGTGGAGTCATCTGCTTGTCCCGTACATAAAAAACTCTCTAATTACGCTATGTTAAGGTCTTTTTTCTAACGTATTCAAAATTTTTCTTTTCTTCTAGTGCGCACAGGCAGCCCAGACTACATGTGTACAATGCTGCCTTTACACTGGCGGTCAAACAAAACACTGCCGACTGGTTTCAAAGTGGTGGCTCTCGGAGACGTAATGGACGGCATCAGGGTGACGATAAGAGCAGGGAACGATGAGAACTGCTGTGCAGAACTTAGGAACAATGTAGCGCATATGAAAGGCAGAATTGCTAAGTTCAATGACCTCAGGTTCGTTGGGAGAAGTGGACGAGGTAAGTTTGAAATTTAATTGTTTTTTTTAATATTCGCACGACTGATAACCGAAGTCGTTTCCTTTTTATCCCCCTTTAAAAAAGGAGGTATTTTTTGTGTTACGTGATTACTCTGACATTTGTCAACTGATTTATATGACTCGTTTCTTATTGAAAAGGGGGTACCTCAGTACTAATTTTACTCAAATTTGAAAAAGATGTTACACCATTAAGGGTGGCAAATTAGGGGTTGAATCAAGTTTATTGAATTTTTTCTTTAATACACTTATTTATATTGCCTGTCGCACGTGGCAAACACTCTCTTGATCATACTATAATAACATATTAAATAAATAAAAAAACGATCCGCAAGCTAAAAACTTAACGAAACCAATTGAATGAGCCGAAACACGACAGTACTATAGCGAGTAGTTGAGGAGTTGGTTAGATGTCCTGGTTGCAGCATCAGATAAAGATATTTACCATATTATTGTAATGTCATTAGATTTCCATTGTAAAACATATTCCAATCAATTGGACGAGTAGAAATATAATAAATACGACTCTATGACTAAGATCACTGCACCAACAAATAAAAGTGCTGATGTAACTTACGGTCGTATTCTAGAACTCTATTCAATTCTCAAATCAGGATTTGAGTATGGTTTAAAGCACTCGAAATCATACTCAAGTCCCTGCCATTAGGGTCGTATTTCCAATGCAATCCTGACTTGAGCATTGAGTAGATTTCTAGAATACGACCCTAAGAATCGTCCCAATTAGAATAACCTCCATACAAAACTACTTTCCTTTTGGAGCTACGACGCCACAGACAAATACACAAACAAGGGTTTCAAACATATTTTCACTCTTTTTGAGTTGGGGGTTAAAAAATAATAATGGCACTCAAAGTGGCCCAGTCACATATAATGACTAAAGTCGATTTGATATGACAAAACTTTTTTACGTAAAAAAAAATTATATTCAATTAGTTTGGAAATGACATTCAATCAAAAAAAAAGATTTTTCAAACAGTTTGTTTTGAAGTAACTTTATAAATACACAAACTTTACACTTTAACTTTGTACTATAAGACATGTATGGTAACTCCATACAATCGTAGCAGCGTGGCTTATATGTGTGCACGCCCGTCGCGCGCCGTGTACGGACGCACACATTCGCATAATCTCGCGATGCAATCGCGTTGCAGAGCAAGGAATGTCACACTCGCCATTAAAAATATTACACGTGTTCATTGTTGAGTTTGTGGTAGTTTCAGCAAAAATGCTTCAAATTCGGAATTGTTCAGCAGTTTTTAGTAGCAATAGAGCTCCTTGTGAAAGAGCTCGTCCAGTGAAGTATTTTTTTATTTATTTTATTGTTGAGGGTACAAACAGCTTGTGTCACAATGTAATAGAAACTATATTAAACAATTATAAGCAAAAACAGTATTGCCACGTTACCTATTTCTGCCGCCAAGCAGTAATGTGAGCATTACTGAGTTCCAGTTTCGAAGGGTAAAGATTAAATTACAGGCACTTGGGACTTGAGCACTTATGTCTCAAGGTGACGGGCACATTGGCAATGCCCTTGAGGTCTTTGCGATTAAAAGTTCTGAGTGACTCTGCAACTGTTATGGACAGGCCTGTCGATTACCGCCAGAAGCACGATTTGGTCATGCTGCCGCTTTATATTATAGAAAAAAAATTATTTCATAATCATACTCCATAACCAAGATACCAATTCGCAATCCTGGTATGAAAATATCAATACTAATAATAATAATTTTAACATAACACGAGAATCTTGTTACTTATTTTTTCAAAGTACTTTTACAACGTGTAGGTACAACTAAAATAATAATGTGACAACCCTACCGAGCGAACCGTAGGCATTTAGGCACCGAACAGACAGGATTTGCCCTTCTTACTCTTATTATACTATGATAGCTATGAAAGCTATTTAGAATGTCCTGTTATAAAGCTGATGATCATTTTATAATAGCCCTAACTAAGACCACACAAAGTAAAAAAAACATGACCTACCGCAACATCCGGTTAGCGATAAAGTTTTTCCCACACCGTTTAATATAACTTGGTGTATTCTATAATTATATTTTAATAATATATCACTGTATTTTGTAAACGAGAAAAAACTATAAATATCGCACCCTTGGTGTAAAAAGGCCACATCTGCAAAATCACAAGTTTTCACAAGAGACGATTAAACATTGAAACAGAAGAATGAAATTAGTCAATAATTTTTTTATGCTTAAATTGGAAAGTTACAAAATTTCCCATATACATAATTTGTTTAATAACACGAACTCTATTATTTGTATGACTTTCGTGTGATAAAATCACTTGACGTAAAATCACATGTGGCTTTGTCACACCATTGGTACCATTGATTGGCACTTTGGTGAAATTACAGGCACTTGGGACTTGTCAACTTATGTCTCAGGGTGATTTTAAGCTCTGAATGGCACTGCAACTGTTATGGATAGGCGTGTCTCCTACCACCAGCCGCGCACCATTTTCGTCTCGTCACTTGGTATTGTAAAAAAAACTTACAAATTTAGTGTGATTACCTGCTTTAGTAGTCAAAGGCGAAAAGGCACGTACAAGCGCTCTTAAATATTTTCACATAGTTGTTTGATAATGTTATGTGCTTCTAAATAGTAATATATGGATAGTTAATAGGTAGCGTAGATATCTACTCTCGCTACAATAACCTATTTAATTTTTGATTACTAATTTAATGCTCTCATGTATTTGTGTTCTTAACTTTCTACAATTTTTATTTCACTTTTTGTTTTATTACACAAATACACATCTATAATTATAATTTAAGCTTACAGCGTTCATTCACTTACATATATATCTAATAAATTATTTTAGACGCATTATTTACACAAAATAATATACGTATTATTTCAATGTATTCATTGTGTCTGTGTATTTAATGTCTACATATCAAAGGTCTCCAGTCCGCATTAGGGACCAGAGTGGTGGACCATGGTCGAAATTCTGAGAGGAAATCTAGATCTGGAAGTGGTGATGATGACATTATCATGTATAGATATCATAAACAATTAAATCATTTGAACACCGTATGACAGGTAGGTTAAAACACTTATATTTCGTACCCTTTTATGATAAAGCCAAATGTGATACGTCAAAATTGCTTTTATCGCATGAAAGTAATAAAAAAATACGAAGTATATAAAACAAATTGCGTAAATGTGAAATTTTATTACTCCTATTTACGTACAAAAAAATATCGAATAATTTCGTTCCTACAATCTTTAAACCTCCGTCTTGAAAAGTTGTCATTTTGCGCATGTGACTTTATTAGACTGAAGATGTGAAAAAGTGAAGTGAGTGCCGATACAGGGATTTGAACCTCGCTAAAGTATTCAAATGCTAAATCCTAGTGATACGTACATATTTGTTCATTGACCTACCTCTTATAACAGTAACACGTATTTATATTTACCTGCGTATATGACTAAAGATATCTATCACTGATGTGTACAATATACCAAACATGTTAACATGAAATAATACCGTCCTCACCAACGAAGTACAACCGGATCAACCAAATCATTAACACAATCCAATCGATCGTTATTAATTAATTAATCATTACGAATCTGATTTCGGTGCTCGATTAGACAATAAAATTTATAATCTCATTGCAACTGGCTCACCAAATCATAGCGGTGGATTAGGCAATAATTATCGGACGCACTAATAGCCTATAATGACATAGGGCGCCTGCAACTAGGTGTCCTAACAGGCAGTGTAATCTGAATTTCTAGTAGATTAGATGTGTTCTACACGTGCGTACGTAAAGGCTCAAGTGTTCTGTCTACAAGAGAAGATAATGGGTGTTAAGTCTATACAAATACAATACACATCGGTTTATTTTTTCCTCAAAAAGGTCTAGTAATGATACCAAATGACAGGACGAGCAAGTCGTGTGCGTGGTGCTAAGCGATACGTCGGTCCATAACAGTTGCAGTGCCACTCAGAGCTTTAAATTGCAAAGATTTAAGGGGTACTGCCACCGCACCCGTCACCCTGAGACATAAGTTGACAAAATCCATGTGCCTGTAATTTCACCAACACCCTTAACCCTTCAAAACCTGAACGCAATAATGCTCACATCACTGCTTGGTGGCAGAAAAAAGGTGGCAGTACTTCCCTGGACGAACTCTTATACTCACAAGAAACCGCTACTAAGCTCCGTGAGAAGTTACAATCTTACGTAAAATAACAAGTTCCTTAGTCAGAGCTGAAGTTTGTACTAGGTTGCAAACCTGTATAACAGATCTCCAAGCTCATAAAATACATATAAATAACATGCAAATTACAAAATAAAGCATAGCATGTCATGTACGTATAGTTTTGCACCCAACTCGTGACGTGGTCGAGAGTGATCAGCCAGTTAGTAATAAGAGTATGTACTCTGCTGACTAACTATGAACACAGAGACAAAAAAAGCTTGTGTGTCCACGTTTCTCAGCCTTGTTAATATTTTCGAGTTATCTGGAAAGGCTCGAGCATGACCATCGTACAAAGCTTATGTATGATGTATAATAGCGGCATTCTCAGGAAATTGAAAAGTTTTTGCGCTCTCGCGAGTTTTGTGGGCCGAAATACGAATCGTATTCTTAGCGTATCTAGCGCACTTTAAGCATCAATCCACGATAACAAACAGATCCCATGCACAGTTCAGCATTGCGGCTATATTGTGGTGTCATCAGAGTGGCTAAGTTTTGGGCAGCGATAATATAGTGTATGCCATCGACATTATAAGAACAAGGAGTGAGTTTGGTCTTTTTTTTCTTCGGCTTTCGCACTGCTATATGTTGGGAATGAAACTTTTTGTTTCGAATTGTTAAAATGAAATATTTTGCAAATCATATGTAGCATAGATTTAAATGTTCTATACTAAATTAAAAATAAAGTATTTAATATCGAGTTCTTAGGTTTCACACATTTTTCTATTGTTCC